AATGAAACTCTACTAAAACATTACAAAAAAATTTTAATAAATTAATAATAAAAATTAAAAAAAGTTAAATAAAATGCTATCAAAAAATTTAACAAAAATATTAAAAGTTAAATAATCAAATTTTTTAAATTTATTGAAATAAATTTTTAAAGAAATTTGCACAAAGATTCGCCCAGAATTTCAAAGCAACCAATATCTCGCAAAATGTTAGAGATAATGAAATAAGAGGTTGTCAAAAAAGCCTTGCAGTATTTTCACTAGTTGGCGCTAAAAGCGCGTAGTTCTAGTTTTATTCGTCGCATCGGGTCATGCTATACCTTTTTGGAAAGCTCATTTCACGCGCTAACATGTGTTTGATTGATTGCCGTTTCTTTTGAGTCATTCGTGAGTTATAGCGTCGCAAACAGCAAAATAAAGAGAAAATACGGCATATATTACAGTGCTACTACGATAAAGGCGAAAATGCATCTCAAGCCGTCAGTAAAATTTGTGCAGTTTATGGACCCGATACAGTTTCCTTTCCCCCGCACAACGATGGTTTCAACGTTTTCGTTCTGGTGTAGATGTGCTGAATATGCGCCCCGCTCCGGAAGGCATGTCGTCAAAATTTGCGATAAAATCGCTGAATTGGTCGAAAGAGACCGACATAGTAGCAGCCGTAGCATCGGTCAAGAGCTGGGCATGAGTCATCAAAAAAAAATTTTATGAACAATTGAAAATTGAAAAAAATTCAATCAAAATACCGCAATACTTTTTTGAGAAACAATTATTAATATATTTACATCGTTTGTTAAACACTTTTATATACTATATACATATATCAACTGACAAAGCAATTTTTAATTTAAAAATGCTGCTTCCTTCCTAAATTTCTGAATTTGCTGATAAATTAAATGATTTAATTACATAAGCAGGCTGTAATAGTTTTATGTTTAATAAATACGCAGATATCCCATTAACATTTTGGCTGCAGATTACAACAGGAGTCAATGGAATACATCCGCAAAATGTGTAAATTCAATTAATTTTGTTTTATTGTACGCTAAAATAGAGAACTTTTTCAATGTCCATGTATGTGTGTGGATGCAGAGTTGCATGTGCTAAACAATTATTAGAGTTTTTCGAGCGATTTAGAGAGCATAAGATAAATAAAACAGCAGCCACACATGCGTGTCAGCAAATTACCCGCAACACATTTTCGCTTGCGTGCAGTAAAATTTACTTAAAAAGCTTTTAGAGAACAAGTAAACACGCATTCATATTCCGATATATGTTGCCATGTATATATATGCCTATATGATGGTTATAAAAACAATTTTACAAATAAATCCAGTAGCAACTAAAATAGCAAGTGTGTTTTCCCATGTAAATAATATTTGTTAGGTATAGGTATATATATATATATGTAAATAGCTAAATATTTATAT